ATATATATATTATAAATTATAATTTTTATCTTTTTTCTTTTTATTAACTTTTTTACAGATTGCCAGTTTCAACAAAGAAATAGAGAACTTTTTTTCTTTTCGTTATTTTCTTCATTCTTTAATAACGATTACGTCATTTGTAATAATTTAATTCTCTATTCATTTTAATTTCATTTAGTTTGTCACCTTGTGTCGAAGTACCTTTCAAATTATTTAACTTCCAACGACATTTAATTAAATCCTTTTTGTTACGTGTCTTTTTTTGATTTGAAGATTCTGTATCTGTTTTCATCGTACCATTTACATTTCGTAACTTACCTATATATAACAAAAATACATACACGCATATACATAATTATTAATATCTATAACAATCAATTAAGACAACAAGAAAAATCATTTTCTTATCATTCATTAACGAATTACAAACGTTTAACGTTTATATCATAGTTATCTAATGTTCGCAATAATTTAGATTTGACTACCTTATTCTTAGGTAAGTCATCGCTATTTCTTGTTTAAATAAAAATACAAATAAAATAAAAAAACACGAAGCTTCTTATATAGCACGTTACATTAGGACACAACGTATTATTAATCTTATTTTTTCATTTTCCTATATATATATATATATATATTATTTTTAATTAAAGTCACTCTCATAGAAGTAATTACAAATTAAGGATACACATATATGAAAGGATAATGCAATATACTTGCAACTTGACAAGCTAAAGTTTTTAGTATACTACAACTTTACGATGTCTTCCACATTTTCCTTAGGCCCATGTTAAAGAGATAAAGAAAAAAAGAAAATGAAAGATAAAATAAAAAAAAAAAAAAAAAGGAAGACGGAAAAAGAACTCTTTCATTGAATCAAATAAAATAACTCTATAAGATATAAATGAAACAACTTGCCTGGATAATTATTTTGGTGATTATTATTAGGATAATCAGTTTCAGAATGGCCACGACGTTCGTTGTTCTCTAATTTAATATCGATCGAGTATATTCCCCATCTGTGCTGTAAAACCATATTGCTATCCCCATGATATTTAAGTCTGTAATATAATGTTATCATATATTTGCTATTTTATTTATATATCATACTATATTATTTCACTCTAATAGCAGTCATAGTTATACATATGAGAAGGTGATTATGAAACAGTGTGGTCTAAGTAAATAAATTTTACTAAATTTATTATACACAAGATGGGTTAAAAAATTCTGAGCCTAATACGAGGTGTGGAAAATTATATAAAGTTGTACAAAATTTATTTATCAATCTGAAACGAACTGATATATAAGAATGCAAATGAAACTTTTTCTTTGTTTTTTTTTTTTTTTTTTTCTGAAGCGCTGAAGTATTGGATTTTACTGCTTTTATACAATGATATATGATCCTGATGGAATCTTACAATTGTGTAGAATTGAACAAAAAATTGGTGTCCTGTTAAGGGTTCTCCCTTTGTTAGATCTTTTCTAATCACCATCTTATATGTATAAATATATGTGTGTATACCTATATTGTTGGCCTGCATTCAAAAGACTGCATTCTATGTTTTCTAGCCAAGCTTGTTGATGTCCAATAACGGAACCAGTTCGACAAATTCGTGCCCAAGCTATAGCTTCTCTGGCTGTCATTGTATAATGCTTTATTAAGTATGCTGCTATCAGAGAACCTGTCCTACCCAATCCTGCCTAATAATGCCAAATTATATATTAAATCAATTAGAAAATGCTTTCTTTTGAGGTACGAGTGCCTTTTGAATCATTTTTGTGTGTGCTATTTCTATTATTTATATATAAGATTATAATATATTATATAAGTAAGATAATACAAAAAAAAAATATCGTAAATGAATATTTTAAAATGACAATTACTTTACAGTGAACAGCAATAGCTCCATTTGTAGTTTCCACCAATTTAAGAAATTTATAGAGAATTTTTTTTGGTGGAACAGTACCATCTGGCATAAACATATCGTAGTGTGATATTCCTGCTTTTGTAAAACTGTTAAAAAAAAAAACAATAATTGGAAATACATTATTATTATTATTCGTTATGTGATTTAGGTTACTGACATTGAGATCAAGTTTGAAAAATAATTGCAATACCTATTAGAATCATATGTTTTTTTGTTCAACCTAACGACAGCAACAACGTCATTGTTTAAAAAATAATTAATGTAACATTCTGGTGGATGATAGATCGTTCCATTTTCCGTACTTGGAGTTAGAAAAGCTAACAATTTTTGCGGTACAATCCAATTCAAATCACCATTTTGTGTTTGTTCGTATTTTTCGTATTCAGCTAAATTAAAATCTTCAAAGTTGAATATGCCAAAGGATACAGCTTTGTAAATGGCATTTAAACAATCTAGATTTAGAATTGGAATGGAATTAGACGAGAATTAAGATTGGCATGCTATAATTTTAAGTATATAATAATAAATAATGAAAGAAAAAACAAAAATATTACCGAGTAAATGAATATTGTAAATCGATGGTCCCAAAGATGCATCTTGAAATAACCTAAACGATATTAATTCGTTACCCACGATGAAAGGTTTGTAAGCTTCATTAGGAGTTTTATTCAAATACAAAATGGCGTATGAGGCTATCAAATAAGCAGCATTTGCTCTTTTCTCCTCATTTCTTGAAGTACAATGCACGAGTAATTTATGCTTGTTTATTGAATCGTTTAATTTCTTTTTCAACTTACAGCAATACCTATTGTGATAAATCAACTTTAATTTTTTATTCTTATTTCGTTAAAAATTCTAATCTTTTTATTTACCTGTACAAACACGCGAGATTCAAAGGTCCAAAGTCGTTGTAAAAGTTATTATAAATTAGCTCGTTGTCTATATTGAAAAATTCAACATTTTCCATTTTTCTCGCTTCCTTTCGATCATTTTTTAATGTTGCAAAATAAAACTTGTTTTTTATATATTCCACAACGTTACAAATATCCGGATGATCGTAAATCAAATTTTTAGCTTGTTAATAATTAACAAAATAAATTAATTAGGAATAATAATAATGATAATAATATTAAATTAGGATAATTGATATATATATATATAAAATGTATGTGAAAATAATTATTACCGTCCATTTCATTCTATCTTTTTATTGTAACTGTAATTAGGATGATTCCAGTATATTCGAAATGTCGTTATACGACAATAAAACAATATACACCTTTAAATCATAGTGATTTGATTTGAAAATTAATTGATGCGTTTATTTTCGCGTCCTTAATTTTCTCGGTTATTTATTTAACGAAATAAAAAATGATAAAATTATGGTCCTAATTTAAGACACGCGACGAATCATTGTTTTTGTTCAAATCCGGGTTTAATAATCCATATCGTTTTGTTTTAAAATTATTCGATCACATGATTTTCTGAAATGAATAAATCGATAACGAATTATTTAATAAAAAAACTAATATATATTATTTAAATTTTACGTAACCTTAAAAAGTATATAAATTCAAATTAATGTCTCCGAGATATTTTATTATAAAAATAATTTCAAGGTAAAATAAAAATTTAAATAAAACATATATAATATTACGCGTTACATAAAATTTCCATGTTATTATTAAATAAAATATAAGACATATTAACTTACTTGATTATAATTTTACGTGCCAAATGAAAAGAAAGAGAAACATAATTCATCGATAGGTTGATATTAAACGTTTTTCAATTTTTTTTTAAGCTTTTATCGATTTACAATTTATGGAAATTAGAAATTAATTTTATTAACATACTTTAGATGGAGTATGCGTTCAAAATACAAAAAAAAAGAATAATTCAGGTTGGTAATTATTTTTTCATTCAAAGCAAACGCAACAGGGAGCAGAATCCTTATCATACAATCATATTAACAGTATGTATAAACTTGTGTGTGTGAATAGTATTTATCCATTTTATAATTGGGTTAGCATGAGTTAGAGTGTATTCAACATCATGTTCGAATCTTTCGAGAATGGTTCTTTAGTCATATTTTAGATTTTATTCTATTATTTCTTTGTTCGTCATTAATTTGTAGTTGTAATTGGAAATGATGGACCATTCCATCTCCTTGGGACACCAAATTTGTGTCTATATTGTCAAAAAGGTGCACATGTGTTTAGTTAATTAGAGTCATAAATATTAAAATTTTCTTTATTATTAAATTTTGAAGTTTAATTAACGTTCGGTGAATATTAAAGTAATTTCTCTTACTTTTTTTTGTCTTTAAGATTTTTAACTGTGATCGTATTTTATTAAATTTGTAAATATTTTTCTTTTCTATATAATGCAGTTTAAAAGTATTACTAATTATATTTAATAGATATTATTTTCTCTAGTAACTTAATATTTGTACTTTTACTTGTTAATTTTTTGTAAATGTAAAATCACCCGTTTAAATTTAATTTTATTGCAACGATAAATAAATATTTGATAAAAATAAATAGAGAATTTAATTAAAAAGTGCATCTGCGAATTGGATGATTTATATGTCAGGCTATTGCATAAGTTGATAGTATGATTGTTATAGTTTTCTTTTTATTACAGGTGATCATCGTGGGATTTAACATCCAACCATTTTGCTTTTTTTTCTATGTGAGAACCTTAAATGGCTGCTTTTGAAAATATTATATGTATAAATGAATTTCTGAAGGCACACATATAAATCCTAAATATAAAATATAATTATTTACAATTTTATAATATTACTTGAAATATTTGTGAAATATACCAAAAATATTTGTTAATAATGTAGGCAAAAAAATTAGTATTCAGTTCTTTTCTTCATATTTTATTTTCTTGAAAGGAAAATTCTATTCAGAGACTAAAAGAAAAGATTAGGATAATCATAAAACCATAAACAAACCTAAGAATTATCAAGATATATTGGTGCGATGAAAACCTTTTGTGCAGTGTCGGGCCCTTTGAGAAGTTTCGGATTCCTATGTAAATACATGCGATACCATAAAAATAAATAACATTCCGATATTCTAGATCAAGTTTCTTTATGCATAGTTTCCACTACCAAAAACCATAGGCTGTACCCATCTGGACTATGGGGTGGATCCTTATGCTATTGGTCAATAAGATTCATAATCTCCTTCCCTCTCCAAAGGGGTGTAGCTCATTTCTAAAATAAATATGTGGAAAGAAGTAAGAAAATGTCCTTAGTCAGTCCTTAGTCTTCAGTCTTTAGTTAGTCTGTCTGTATCTGTCTGTTTGTTATCTGTTATTCTGCAAATCAGTCAGTCGGTCTTATATTTGTAACTCTTTTGTATTCTGTATTTTTGTAACCACCCCACTTTTTGTAAACTTATGTAAATACCGTTCGACATCACATCATCATAATTTAATAAATTATATTATATTATCTTCAGTTTTTATTTTTCTCTGTCTGAACCCCTCACAATAAATAATGATAAATCTCGGTGAGGATTTAATTAGATAATCTAAACATCGTTTTATAGACACAACATGTGTGCAATCGTTTTTGTCAGAATAAAACACGTGACTGTGTATATTAAAATTAGTATGGGGTATAAATGCTTTTTTAATTTTATTTTTATTTTTAAGAGGCGCCATATACCAATTGGTAATTTGTTCGTTTTCATTAAAAGACTATTATTTTTAATTTTTTTTTTGTAATTCAAACATAAAAAATAAGAAATATCAATAACTTATTATTTATATTACTTTTTCAAGTAAATTTTAGTGTTAATATTAAATGTTTTTCTTTCTGTTAGAGTGAATTAGTGTTATTAATTATATGATTTTTATTATATTGAATTTTTTTTTTTTTTTTTTTTACTTTTTGTATCAAAATATACAAAATATTTATGTATGAATTAATTTTTTTTTAATTTTACTATCGAATAAAGAGAGAATATGTGATAAATGAAAGTAAAAATATTATATAAAATTGATTGTGCATTTTATCGACAATAGGAAAAGTAGATAAGTGTAGGTAGGAAAGTTTTAAAAAGTTAAACGTAAAATTGTATGAATGAGCGTTAACAGATGTCACTACGATTTCATACTCGTAAGATACATACATCGTATAGTTAACATTTTTTAATATTATTTTATTAAATGCGTATAATTAATCATTCAAATTGTCAATTGTAATACTTAACATAGTTTTGAAAAATTAGAGTTATTAAAAAAAAAGAAAATATTTTACTTAATCAATTGTTTTTTTTTTTTTTAATAATTATCATATAACACACATCATTATAGTAAAATAATTTCGAAAAGTTTGAAAAACAATGTTAAATGTTTTCAACAAAAAAATATAACTTGATATATAAATTAAATTACAAATTTGCACGTAATTGAGATATTACTGACAAAAAAAATTCAGAATTAGCAAATTTTTTCATTGCCGTAACCAAATAACATAATTTTCTTATTCAAAACTTGAAATGTAACAAAAAGAAAAACAAAATATTTCCAATACATTTAAGTTTATAAACGTAAAATTTGAATATGCTAGCGTAATCGAAATTGGCTGGGTCGTATCGAGAGATTACAGAATTTTCTTGTTGCAACGATTCACAAGTTACACCGGGAAGTACTTTAACATGCGATGCTGCACATAAAGTGAAAGAAAGAGAAAAAGATAGAAAGAGAGAGAGAGAGAGAGAGAGAGATAGAGAGAGAACGAAGGAAAGAAAAGTTTGAAGGAAAAGGAGGAACGAAAACGACCGAGGGTATCGTGTTGCAGTCTGATCAGTATTTACAATTCAGGAGAAATCCTTTTCCCGACGAACTGTTGCGCGTTTATCGTCTTGGTCTCTTGGTCTTCGTCTTCGTCTTCGTCTTCGTTTTCGTCGTCGTTGTCTTCGTCCGTCGTTGTCTCCTCGTCGTCGGGGCTACGTTCATCCGTCCAATCGTGCATCCATTCCTGCGTCCGTCAATCCGTTATAATTTCTCCGCTAATAGAATCCGAGATTTCGTAGCGAATCGTGCAACGCATCCAAAGTTTACTTTCCGTCTTTCTCTCTCTCTCTCTCTCTCTCTCATTTGTTGTTTTTTTTTCTTTTTCTCTTTCTCTTTCTATCTTTCTCCTTGTTTCATCGTACCATTCTTCCTCGACTCCTCTCTCTCTCTTTTCTCTCTCTTACTCTATCTTTTTTTCTGTCTGTCTGTCTATCTCTCTCTCTCTCTCTCTCTTCCTCTTACAGTAGCGCGTGCACACGCACGACACACCGGTGCCAATCGAGGTGGCTTCGGCTTCTATTCGGACGCGTTTTCGAATCTCTCGATCGAATTCGTTGACCCACTATCTCAACACGTCGTTAAATCTTTTATTGCGTTCCTTTTAACGCAGACGAGTCTCGCATTAATTTTTCTTTCTCTCTCTATATATATAGGTACTACCTATAGATATACATACATCTACATGTATTTTTATTTTTTTTTTAATTAACAAATATATTTTCTATATTTTTACATTTTAAACATTGTCTTCTTTTTATTTCTATGATATTTTTGAAAAGATATCAAGATCAATGATTGTGAATGAAAATGTTTTATACGTATATATGTGCCCACCATTATGAAAGTGGTAGAGGTATTTAAAGAATTACATTTGAACACTTGAATGAACTTTTTATAATATTGAAATAACAAACATTATCTCTAACGGATGTATTTTTGACAATATCGTGAAAATTACATTGAATTAATTTAGTTTAACCCATTGACTACCAGACATATTTAGAGCGTCTTGCTTTGGGTGTCAAGGTTTTATTTTAAAGAATACATGCAATTTTTTAGTAATATTAAGTTACTGATAGAACATTGTAATGGCATTTACAATAATTGATAATTAATGTTTTTTACATCATATAAATATTTTACTTAACCTTTTTAATAATTCTTACTTAATTCCAATAACCATTTGTAATTAATCTAAGATTGCAGCACACACTACGAGATATCTCGTAGTTGTCAATCAATGGGTTAAAATAATGTGTA